TCGGAGCTAATAGAATTCTCTCTAATCGGTAACTTAGCCTTAGTATGCCAGCAGTAGCAGGTGGAAGTAGATTGTGGAGCTACAAGTGTCACCCGAGACAAGCGAGTTCATTCGGCGGATGGGCTGTCGACTACGTGGACGATGGACTACCTGCGACGATGGAACTTTTCTGAGTTTTCATTACGATCCATTCGGATTGAAGCTCTCCCATTCCTTACAGAGCTCGTCCCGCCCTTCAAAAATCAGGGTTCGAAGAATAGGGATCTCAGGCTCATTGGGAATGGCTACTCGGTTCGGGCGACAGGTTACTGGGAACACTACTAAGAAATTTGTCGCTTTTCCTCCTCCGGGAGTCTTTCTATATGTCCATGGATGGGAGCGGAACGCGACAGAAAGACAGAGAAAATTGCAAGAAAACGATTAGGCAAAACAAACGGGCTAGCCAGTGAGCGAGCCGACCGGCCTGCTGCGCGAGCAGCGACAGAAGGTGGTTCTCCTGCACTCTCTGACCGCCAGTCGGTCCATCTGGGCAATGATGGGGGACAACAAAGCAAGAGAGGCCGGAACTCACCGCTGCAGCGCTGAACCAGACAACCCCAGAGAGTACCGTTGGGAGGTTCGATAAGATTTCCTCCGGACTTCCATACAGCTGGACTATTCGAATCCCGAATGTCAGCACCGCGGAGCATTCCAGGAAAAACTGCATGGAGCTACTGGACTTATCTAGCGCGTAATTAAACGGGCTCCACTCTTGAAGATAGACGGCGATCCAAGACAATTTCTGAAGCAAGGTGGATGCACCTGACCGACGGCTGCGACTCCGGCCGCTCTTCACACTCTTGTGAGAATCATTGTGGCTGCTCTGGTGGAGCGGGCTCTGGATTGCGCGCCGGGCGCTCCGTCTGATAGTGAGAGATCCTTCGGATGATTTTGAAGGAGCATAATGAGCCTTTCTTCTCTGCCGAACGCTCTCGTCTACGAGCAAATACTCGGAGCTCTCATTCACGCAAGGCTCCCATTGGTCCAGAGAGTCAAGCGATTTCTGGACAAGTCATTCAGCGGCTTTCTGAGGGCGAGCTGAACCATGTGAAGGAAAACGCAGCTAATGGTGAGAACATTTGTGTCGATGAAACAGAGAAGCGTGAAGCCCCTGAACTTACTTGGAGCAAGCGCGACGCGAATCACCGTGTATCACCCGGAAAGCACCGAACCTGACTCCCGAGAGATGCAGGCGTGCCGTCGCGAGCAGAGGCGTCCGCAGGATTTTTCTTGGGGGCTTAGATCGGGTCCTCGCATGGGGCTCATTTCCAAAATGGCGACTTGTACCTTCACCTCAGTATCACGAACTCTCAATCTGGGAGGGAGCTATAGCCCCCTGCGGACAAGCCTGGTCGCGAGGATGTATGGTTAAGAAACTGGTCGTGATCTCCTCCGTGATAAGAAGGTGGCATGTTGACCCTCCAAACCGACCGTGTTTGCATCAACTGCGCTCTACAGCGCCCGTAATTCGGGGACTTCACGAAGGGACACGGGGATTTCCGTCGCAATCGGGAGGTTTGCGATAAGTTGCTGAATATCTATCATGGCGACTTCGTGAATTTCGCCCCAAACCAGTACCGACCGTCTGATGAATTTTCACATCTTGAGCGGCTCAAGTTGTTCGAGATCGAGTTTTCTCAACAATTTGGTGGCGCGTGACGGGATATCGTCTTTGAAATCGCTCTGGTTTACCGAATTTTCGCGTTTCCAGGGGGATACTTCTGAGCGCTCCGGTTGCTGGTGCTGCCGGAATCGAACCGTCCAGCAAGATATTGTATTAGCTCGCTCCCACAACACCTGGATTGACTCTCCTCCATCGAGACGTATCAATTCCTTGAATTGCAGAACCAATTTCAGCGGTCCTATTGCAGATCCAAATCTCTCTATGAGCGGAGCCCTCGAGACTTCTCTCGAACCTCTGACTGCCTGGGCAGAGTTTTCGGGGATCGCAGAAGCTTTCGTTCGCGGCTTCGATATCTTGTTTGATTGCACGTAGAGTGATCCCCACGAGTATCGCGGATTGCTCTCAGAACCTCTCGGAGATTTTCATCGGACGCCGGATTGCCTAGGTACGGGAAATGTTATTCCGCTGTCGCTGGCGAAGATGTTCGGGAGCTCACCCGAGAGAATTGAGAGCTCGAGAGGCTCCTATAGGAACAATCCAATGGCTTGGAGGACCGCAGATGACGCCGGAACGCCGAGGTAGCGGCGTACCCTCTGTTCCTCGATGCCGAGGTGGAATCACGGATGCAACATGAAATATGATTTGATTATCGGAGTATGGGTGGAATGAAGTTCTTCTCATACGGGGATGCGGAGGAGGGAAACAAGGTTCATGAGAATACTTGATGATGACGGCTTGGTGATGTGTTCCGCATCCCTTTCCGGAATGCGGAGTTCGCCCACCAGGACTCAATTGATTTCATCTCCAGAGATCACTTATGGGCGACAGGGATTAGAGGACCGGTATGTTTTTCGAATAGGTGGAAGAACAGGCGAGAAAGGCGACGTCATCGGAGCCGTCTCGTCCGCATAAGGATTGAGACTGTTTCGGGAGCTTGACTGGTGGAAAAAAGGGAAATCAGCGCTCTCCGTTTGATTTTTGAGGTCGGCTTCTAGGTCCGACTTTGTCCACAAATGATGTCGAGTCCTTCTCTCACCCGCCCATTCGTTGAGAAGCGGCCTCTGTGCCTCATCATTTATGCTTACGTGATTCGATGCCCCGCGTTCCTTGGTTGAAGAGCCCCGCCACTTACTCCTATTCGCTTCATCCGCTATCTGCGGCTGTTTCTTCTACGATTCGCAGACCCATCCCTGGTAGCACTTCTCATGAGCTCGCGCGACATCGCAGGGCTCGATCTCATCGTGCGGGTTCCTCACATTCAAGAGTTTTTCGCTCATATCTGAGGCGCACATTCATGTCCTGCTTGCTCATTCCCCGCGCTTGAATCAACGGGAAGTAATAGGTTTTCCCAAGCCTCGTCCTTCTCCGTATGAAACTATCACGTCTCTTGTTGCAATGGCTTGGCTGCATGGTATCCGAGGCGTGGGTCTCAGGTCAGCGTAAAACCCAAGCACATCTCGAGCCGGAAACGAGAGACCAAGCACAATACAGCAGTATCTGACATGTTTAGCTCTGGTTGCGGGCTCAAGAGCTTCGAGTCACTTGCCTCCCGCTCGAGACGATATCGAAGCAGCTGAGCTTACCTCGGGACGTCCGAGCTGTCGGATCCTCTGCCATAGCTGTGACTCTCGCAGTGGAGGGTCCGCGAGCAGCGATGTTGGCGCTTCCAGGGCCGAGGTCCGAGGTCAAGAGCTTATCGAGGGGGAAGGGCAGGGGGCGACATCGTTCCTAGGTGTGTCGACCGGAGAGAGGGACGTCCCTATGTGGATTTTGCATGAAACGGCTGGGGTTCTGACGCTAAACTTCCAGAGAGCGGCGCAATCTATCCGCCAGTGCTTACTCCCGCCGTGGGCGTCACGTTGCGACGGAATGCCACTGGCAGGGGACGATGCGGGCCGGGTTCGCCGAGGCTGAAACCTAAAGAAGCTGACCCTTCCGAAGCCGATTATGAGCCTCCATTCTTTTCCAGTCACCCGCTAAATCGAGGATGTGATTCTCCATGAGGCTGAGCGAGGTTTCGCCTGCATTGAGCGGAGTTCGCTTCCGAACGGAGCCTATCAAATTCACCGACTAACGGAGAGCTTCCCAAGTCGTCTCCAGACATTAGGGATGCTATCAGGCACGTGTACGAGCCTCCAGGAGGAGTTTGATCCACCGAACTTGAATAAGATCGGGATGCTCAGTCAAGCAGAAAGCTCGTTCATTTCCGTGAGGATCTTCGCAGAGAGTGGCATTGGGACTGGGAATTTCGAGACATATGGTGCACTCCTCCATTATTGAACCTTTGAAATCTCAGGAGGTGGAATCAGTCCCACACCCCGGAGAGCGTAATAAATATCTGGAGATCCCTTAGCTCTATTACTTGGGAGGAAATAAATCCTCTGCTCGCATTGATCAGGTCAGGAGAAGAAGGCATTCCTCGAGGAACATATATAATAAGATCGATGTATGACATGAGAATGTCAGTAGAACACAGGGTAGTTGGAGAGGATCCCAGCGACGATTCGGCTCGACCACCCTCTTCTGGAGATTGCATCTTGGTGTCCGAGATCGCGATCCTCTTCTCCGTCCCCGCCGAATTCAGACGAGGACTGTTACTACTTAGCTCCGCATTGAGTGGAACCAAACGGTCCATGCAGCGTTCGAACTCGGCAGGGCTAGCCGAAGGCGCATTACGTTCCCGGGAGCAACGAGGGCAACCATTATCAGATTATGTGCTTCGCCTTCTGCTATCGCTCGAAAACCGAAGATCGAAAACTTCGCTCGCGCTTCGGCGGAAGTTCTCGCTGAATATGAAGTCGAGTTATTCTGGGAAGCTGAAAGAGTGCCGAAGATTGGGCGCTGCAGCGGTCGGTCAGCCCGGAGCGATTTCATAGTGGATGAGGAGAAGCCCGGGGCGGGCAAGAGACATTCTATTTTTCTGTCCTCGTTAATAACAGTCAATCGTCCACAGTAACAAGGAATGATTCACGAAGTCTCCGTGAGCCTTGACTGCGGATACAGGAAGACAGTCTTTCACTGCGATTGGTTCCAAGTACAGTGTCAAAACATTTATGTATTAGTGCGGGCCTTCGCAGGACCTCTGGAGGTATCGCCGACGATACATTGAAGGATAGGAGGAAGCCGTCTCGGATCATCATCGAAGGAATTCTACGCTTTCCATCGATATCGGTGATCGAATAAATGGTTCAAACTTTTTGTACACAGCTTTCAACGCTTTTTATTGAGTAGCAGCAATCTCGACCTTACTTTCAGGTGGATGGATTTCTCCCGACTCACTAATTTAAATAGAGCTCGAAAGTATACAGTTCGGAGCGAGGGAGGGGCACCGCAAGGGAGCGATATCACAGGAGTTCAGTTCGAAGATGAAGACTTCTTATCTGGAGTCCTTGAATTAGTAGTGGTGACCGTAAGCAAGGGGAGCCTTGGCGAGAACAGGGGCGGCGGCATAAGCGGCAACGGGGGCAGCAGCTACAGCCTTGACGGCAAGAGGGGCAGCAGCTACGGCCTTCACAGCGACGGGAGCAGCGTTGTAGATGGCAGCTGCGGGAGCAGAGGGAGCGGTTCCCGGCTCGTTGGTGTGGACGGAGGCACGGAATCCAGCGCCGTCGGCGACGTAATCAACACGACGCGAGATTCCGCGGGCATCGGTGAAGGAGTAGGATCCTTTCTTGTTGTTGTAGGCGTCGGAAGTCTCGTGGCGGGATTGTTTGGTTCCATACTCATCGACAGTCTCGTAACCGAACTGGTATGGTTGGGGAGCGTAGGCTACGGCAGCCTTGGCAAGAACGGGAGCGGCGGCGATCTTGGCAACGGGAGCGGCAGCAGCGTAGGCGAGAGGGGCAGCATGAGCGTATGAGAGCAGGAGCAGCATGAGCATAGCGGAGAGTGGGAGCAGCATGGGCTACATGAGCCACGGGGGCGGCATGAGCGTAGCCGAGAGCAGGGGCAGCATGAGCGATCCCGGCATAAGCGGGAGCGGCGATCGCTCCGGCGTGAGCAGCGGCGACGGCCGCGGACGCGACGATGACCTGGAACAAAAGTCGGTTATTATCCTCTGGCTGCTCCAAACGTAGCGTATTCCTCGATCGACGGGAGCGGCAACACCACGGAAGATTATTCTCCCGCACACTCAGTGTTTGCAGAAATTCTTCATAACAGAGGGAGTACCTTAGCGAACATGTTCACTGATACTGTAGACTGGCTTCTTCTGTTGGAGGGAACTCCAGAACGCAGGCCTTTTATTCAGCCAGAAGGAAGGGCAGAAGCTAAGCCCCACCCGGCTACCCGACCCCCTCGGGCACTCATCGAAGGCAGCAGTCGAATTCAAATCAGGGCATCCCAGTATCGAATCAGAATCGCGTCCGCTAAGATACGTGAGTATATGCGTCTGATTAGATGGGGGTACATTACATACGCACCGCCCGGATCGGAGCTTTTCTAATTGCTCGAACAAGCCGTTGTGTTCCGAGGAAAAATGAACTCGAGGTGTCATCCGTCCGCCCAAAACACCTCCTGGCGGATGTCAGAAGTCAGGATATTCTCTGGGTCCGATTGAGCAATGTCGAGACGAGAAGGCCGTTCCCAATCAAGTCGATTGATTCATCGAAGAGCTTCTAAAAATACTTCCTGGATCAATGTGGGCTCGGTTCTTCGAAGAACACATGTATTGCAGCGGAGGTGAAACCAGAAGCAAGAATTCCATCATTTCGTCACGAAGAGGGTAGAATAAGATGGAGGACAATTTAATGCTTCGCCCTTCCCTCTAAGGGCCTCAAGCGCTCGGGATCTATTTGATACATACTTCAGCCGTCACTTATCGTCGACAGCAGCCGGGAGTCAGCTCCGGCCTAGAATGTGACCCCAAATCGTGTCGTCTTGTCCCGTACATGCATCCCGTTTCCGTTGAAGAACTCGGATTTCGGGTTGGTATCGAAGCTTGGGAAGAAACCACAAAAGTCCCTTCGTCGGTGTCTCCAGCATTGTGGTGTATGCCCGTACACATGATTTGAACTTACAAATCGGGACTGCCCTCGGGCGCTCAGAAAACAACAATCATAGAAAGGTCTCTTTCGTGAACGTTGACCGGAATCCTGTAGCGAAAATCTGTTGCTGCCATAAACCTTGATGATGCCACCCAAAAACACTGGGAACCGCGCGATGGCCTGCGGTCACAGACGACATCCAGCGCCTTGTCAACGAAGTTGCACCGCATACCAGCAGGGCAATCATACGGCAAGCTGTTTGATCACGGACTTCGCTCCTGTAAGACAGATTCAAGAGAAAGGAGGAGGTTTTGAGCGATGGGTAGAAAATATTGGTGGACAGAACCAATCGAACATTGAGCCCTAAGACGAGAGCGAATCGCGGAGGCGAATGGCGTCTTGCGAAGTTGAAGAAGCTTAGATTCGTTAGCACGCTCATGAAGAGTCTCTGTCCCGACCCGGCCGTTGAACACGCGGAACTCATTCTCTCGAGTCCACCCGGAGCTGTTGCTATCATATCAGGGAATGTGCCCCGCAGCAGCTCCTTCCACCGACTTGCTCTAATCGCGAAGCGAGGAGAGAAGCAGGCTCTTGCGGAGTATTCAGAAACTGCGTGCTGATGCTCCTCCCTCCGTAGGGGGATCGGTTGAATATCCTTCGCAGTACGGCACCGAGTCCGCAGAATTTATGTCCATATGCGGAAACGAGTGGAGTCATAGGATCAAGGGGACAGGGTTTCCCGATCTCAAATGTCACAGAGAGAGCTTGAGGTCAAGATCAGCTGGCATCATCAGCTGTAGGAAGACGGGAGTTTTCGGAAGGAGTTCCGTTTGGGGATCCGACGACGGAGATCTCTCCTGAGCTCACCTCGGATTCGTCTTTGAGTGTCAGCCCACTGATATCGAGATAGGCGCTTCTGAAACAGCTGGAAAGTTGCTGAACTCGTCCAAGGGAATCTTAGCGGACCGATCCCGACGGATATATCGGGTAATGCCACTCATTGATTGTGTGCTTAAGAATCGAACGGCTGTAGCGTATTTGTGAACCCTGTCGAATGCCTTGGAAATGTCCAGAGCAACAGCAAGGGTCTCGCCATGTTTTTCAATAGCAGAGTTCCAAAATGGGTGGTGTAGAGCAGAAGATCGCCAGTGGAGCGACCCTTTCGAAAGCCATACTGCTGATCACTAATGAGGGAGGACTGTTCGAGATGGGAGAGGAGCTGGGAGTTAACGGCTTTTTCCATAACCTTGGATAGGATGGAGACGAGTGAAATAGGCCGATAATTTGAGGGCGAAGATTTGTCGCCTTTTTTGGGGATAGGTTGAGCGAGGGCAAGCTTCCAGCAAACGGGGAATACGCCTGAATCGAATGAGAGTGAGAAAAGTCTACAGAGTACAGGAAAGAGTTCTGGGGCGCATTTTTTGAGAACTATTGCTGGGATACCATCAGGGCCTGGGGCCTTGAAAACATCAAGGGTGCCGAGAATTTTACGGATCGAGAACTGGTGGAACGATATTGGCGGCATGGAGGGAGGGGCGCTAGAAGGAGGGGGCGGGATTTGATTGCCGGGATCAAGTTTAGAGTTTTCTGCAAAAACCTCAGCGAGTGTGTTGGCTTTATCTTCAGGAGTTGTTGCAAGGGAACCACCGAGCTCAGAGAGGGGCGGGAGAGTGCTTGTGGAGAAATTTTGGCGGATTGCTTTTTCTAGTGACCAGAATGGGCGGCTGCCACTAGGACATGAGGTGAGTTTATGAGCGATTGAGGAGATATGGGAGTTGTTAGATTTCTCGATTTGAGCTTTGCAGGCATTACGAGCCTGCTTGAAGATAGAAAAAGTTGACGGGTTAGGCTGGGATTTCCATGCATGATATGAGCTACTTAAAATCCAAAATGGCTCCCGCCAGGCGAGGATTTTACCCTTCTTGACGATGCGAGTGCCTCAAGGAACTCGGATTGTAGGGGGCGGCGGTGCGAGCCAATCGGTTCCGGCCACATCTCACAATAAGCTCACCGCTCCTCTGACTGAGAGTTGAAATGAAGCTCAACCAGCTATCATTGATCCCTTGACGGAGGACTGAGCGCTTAGAGCTTACCCCGCGGAGATTCCCTATTAGAACACTTCATGCTTACTCGAAGGAACATCCATATGCTCGCTCATGGAAGCATCTATTGTTCCTCCCAAGGCCCCTTCTCCTCTTTCCGAATGGGGTGGAGGCTCGAGACCTGCCGATTTTCGAGGCCGGGCCAGCTATCATCCAGCTTGATGATGTCGCCGATAACTCAAATCAGTCCGACGTTGCTCATTCATACCCGTACCATCGAAGTCGACGGGGCAATCAAATGACAGCGTCCCCGCCGAGCCGTCAATGAGAGGGGGCTTATCGAACATGATTGATGGTAGATGATTGATGCGATAATCTGACTCGTCCCATGTTTGAGGAGAGATAATGGACCCTCAACAAAGAGGGTCAGGAGCGCTTCCGGAATTCATCGGAAGTTTGGGCCTGCAGAAAGTCGGCTCAGCAGATCGAGTTGGGACCTGCAGCACGGAAGCTGGGATCGGAAACTGAGCAGGAAACCTCTTGAGACGGGGAGGTCCGTGAAGAATCTTCAATTGATCCGCTCATCGAGGAGTTGCGTCGTGAAATATGCCCGTCAGGAGCGTGATTTTGGGACCCCAAAGTGATGCCTCCGCCCCGCTCCGAGGAAGCCTACACAACCGAATTCGGAGCGATCAGATCGGTTTCCTTTCAGGAAGAGAAAATCCGACGAAATGGTTCCTCACAATTAGAATAATTTAATATCATAGAAATTGGGCTATACATTCAGGGAGAGATGCACTGAAGCGGAGGGAGGCACAGGAGTGTCGCAGAGGTAGGGAGTTCAGGAGAGAGGAAAGTCCTTGAGCGGAGAAGATGAGAGACGTCGAAGAAGCTCCGATCTCATTAGTATCGACCGTAGGCGAGGGAAGCCTTGGCGAGAAAAGGGGCAGCGGCGTAGGTGGCCACGGGGGCCGTAGCTACAGCCTTGACGGCGAGGGGAGCAGCGTTGTAGACGGCGGCAGCGGGAGCGGAGGGAGCGGTCCCAGGCTCATTGGTGTTGATGGAAGCACGGAATCCGGCAGCGTCAGCGACGTAGTCGACGCGACGAGCGATTCCACGAGCATCAGAGAAGGAGTACGATCCCTTCTTGCTGTTGTAGGCGTCGGAGACCTCATAACGAGATTGTTTGGTTCCGTACTCATCGATGGAATCGTATCCGAACTGGTAGGGCTGAGGAGGGTATGCGATGGCGGCCTTGGCGAAGATGGGAGCGGCGGCGATCTTTGTGACCGGGGCAGTGGCAGCATAGGCAACAGGAGCCGTGCTTGCGTATCCTGAGAGAGCGGGAGCGGCAAGACCAACTTTGGAGATCGCAGGGGCGGCAAGACCGTACGAAGAGATGCCAGGGGCGGCTAGACCGTAAGAAGAGACAGCGGGGGCGGCGAGACCGTAAGAAGAGACGACGGGGGCGGCAAGACCGTAAGAAGATACAGCGGGGCCGGCTAGACCATAGGAAGAGATGGCAGGGGCGGCCAGACCAACTTTGGAGATGGCAGGCGCCGCAAGGCCGTAAGAAGAAATAGCGGGAGCGGCTAGCCCATAGGAGGAGATGGCAGGGGCGGCGAGACCACCAGCTCTAGCGCTGGCAACAGCCACGGATGCGACGAGAACCTGTGGGAGCAAGCAGAGACAATGAAATTCCGTTGGACCGCACAGACCTCGTCCGTCGATTCAATCCGGATTACGATCGGGTTCTGAAGCAGTGCCATCCGGACAAGAGTACCTGGGCGAACATGCCTAATGATGCGGAGAACGAGTACTGTTGGAATGAGCACCGGGGAGGCGGTTTTATATACTATCAGAAAGGGTTGCATCGGTTGTAGTCGCACCCGACGAGACAGAATGCCGGCGGCCAATCAGTGGACCGCTGAGAGTTGAATAGTCATCATGATTTTCGTCAGCTTTTTCAATCTGCCTTATCGGGTTCCTCTTGGTCAGTTCTTGATCCGCATCCAGACTTCGACTTGGAAGGGTCCTGGGAGGCTCCTTGGTCCGCCTTCCTGGGTCGAGCATTCGGGAAGTATCTTTTAGGGAACATGAAGGGTTTACATCCACAGAGTATGACCAGAAGCGGCAGTCAGAAACGGCCGCCACCAAATTGAAAACGGCTGATGCAACAATGTCTCATAGCAGGTGAAATGGCTGTGAGCTATTCTGGTTGGACGGTATGAAAGCCGATGAACGTCCCATGACTGGGGACTCGTGTTTCGGGAGGTAGGGGCAGGGAGGATGTCCGTCAGCGGCGGACCGTGGACTCCAATGAGGAGACCAGGGTCCGCCGCTGACGGTTTCTCGCCCTGGAGTCTTCTCCCGCCGGACATCGATTAGAAAGCTGATCCGATGGCCTGCTGGATCGCCATGGGTACTCGGCTGGATACCTTTCTCGGTGCTCTCTACCTCCGACATTATGTAAGTTTTGGAAACCGTTGAGCAGGTCCTCTTCAGAGGCCCTACCCTGGGGGCCTCTCGGGAACGAGGAAAAATCCCAGCGCGCTCCTCCCGGAGCGTGACGCCGATTTCGCAAAGGACGCTCGGTCCGTAACAGCGAGCCCATGTCGTCGCCGACATGAGAGCCCGAGGGCTGAGGCGGGTTCTCGTCGAGGTTCCCAACCCGGCCGGGGAAAACGAAATTCGAGCACAGGGGCAGCGTATCAGGGCTCATGATCACGTCGAGCTAATACACGACGGTGGTCTCTCATTTCCTCTGGAATAGATGCGATTGAGTAGTATCATAGGACGTTTATCAAAACGCCTCAATATGTGCCCTATGAGGTGGATGAGTCATGACTCATGACCACTGGATCACTCGGCTGTGATCAGCGGTGACAACTAGGGAGTTCTTCCGGAAGTTTCCGGGACCGAGGAGCTCTCGGGAGGAATATTCTTCTTCTCTTAGTCGCGTGACCTCGATCTCGATTTATGATCTCCACACGGTGAACTCCCGAAGCTTGTAGAGACTGAACTAGGAGTATTTCGGCGATGATCCATCTGTCGCTCAGTTTTCTGACGCTGGCATGTCCAAGCGCCGGCGTAGAGCCGTCCCGGCTGATGAACCTGAGTCGAGCTGTCATATAACACTCGCCATTAGGAATGAAAGGCCCATCGGGAAGCGTCAGCATACTCAGAACGTCTTTCCGGTCGCTTACGCTCATCGAGTATCTGCTTTTGACCACGGCCTTCCTCAACACAAAGTCGTATTTTCACTGAGTGACAGCGCTCAATCTTTCACGGAGCGAGGTCACAATGCCCTCTCGAAAATTGCCCGCGCGCTACCGAATCGATGCCATCGCGGCGTGAGAACAATGATTTTCTTTCTGCGAGACTCGATGGAGTTGAATCGTCGATCCGCCTCGTTTATGAGCTCGTTCCACAGCAGTCGCTTATAATTATTTGTGTGAACAGAATTATATCGAGCGCAGCTGACATGAGTCCCAATGCAAATCTGTTCTGATTCTCGTATATGGGCCATCGATTTATTCATCATAAATAGCTAGGAGGGGAAGATATACAATCGGGATAGGGGAAGCATAGAGAGAAGCGGTCGTCGATCAGATATACAGAATTTCCTTGTCTAAAGACCTAGAGCTCAGCTCAAACACCTAGTACAAGCTGCCGTAGGTAGCGAGGGGGGCTTTCGCGAGGACGGGGGCGGTGGCATAGGCGGCGATCGGGGCAGCAGCTACGGCCTTGACAGCGACGGGAGCGGTGTTGTACAGGGCTGCAGCGGGGGCGGAGGGAGCGGTTCCGGGCTCGTTGGTGTTGATGGTGGCACGGAATCCAGCGGCATCGGCGACGTAGTCGACCCGTCGGGCAATTCCACGTGCATCGGTGAAGGAGTAGGATCCTTTCTTGTTGTTGTAAGCGTCAGAAACCTCGTGGCGGGACTGTTTGGTTCCATACTCATCGACAGATTCGTAACCGAACTGGTAGGGTTGAGGGGGGTAGGTGACAGCAGCCTTGGCGAGGACGGGAGCGGCTGCGTACTTCGCAACGGGGGCGGCAGCAGCATAAGCGAGAGGAGCGGCGCCGGCGTATCCAGAGATCACGGGAGCGGCGAAACCAACTTTAGAAATAGCAGGGGCGGCAAGACCGTAGGAAGAAATAGCAGGAGCGGCAAGACCGTAGGAAGAAATAGCAGGAGCGGCAAGACCGTACGAGGAGATAGCCTGGGCAGGGAGCCCGACTTTGGAGATGGCGGGGGCGGCCAGACCGTAGGAGGAGATAGCAGGAGCGGCGAGGCCGTAAGAAGAGATAGCGGGAGCGGCGAGGCCGTAAGCAGGAGCGGTGAAGCCTCCGGCGTTAGCGGCCGCGACGGCCACGGAAGCAACGATGACCTGCGAAGAAGGACGGTTATAATCCTCGGGTCGATCAGAGCTAAAACGAGCACAGTGGGTTCGAGTATGGAGAGCACAGTCCTGACGGAAACGGGATGCAAGCGCGTCGCAGGAATACCTTGGCGAACATTTGGGTCTGTTTCTCGGACTAGTTTTCATTGCTCTAGAACGCTCTCCCGCGTTTATATATCCGATCAGAAAGGACAGCAACATAGGCCACACCCGAGTCACAGTACCGCCCCGCGCATATTTCAATCGCGTTATTGAAACTCCTTTCTGTGCATTGAGAGAGTTCTAGTCCGATCGAGAGTCGCGGAGCTGATGAAATAGCCGTGGTCTTTGGGAAGCATCGAATTCTCACGTGGCAGCTGCTCATTCCACAATATTTTCCTCGTTACCTGCCCCTCCGGGTCATCAAGAGGTTTGATCCAGTTTGTTCCGCCGAAGCACGTCGGGAATCCCTACGAGACTCGCGGACGATGAATCAGGCTACGATATTCGGGGGTTTTGCGCTAGCGGATCGAAGAGCCGTATGAGCTTTCAAAACAGAATTTTCAGACAATGTCCCCGTCGATTCTGATGCAATCGGCTCTACACGGTGACTCAGCACTTTCGGTTCTGGTCACCGCTTGTGGGACTTGTATGTATGTTCGAAGCCGATCGCACATGCTGCCACGGTCTTCTTTTAATTAATTATCAGTCGATTTCCGGAAGCCGAGCGATTTTCGGTGTGGTCCAAATGCGCTCAAAGTCTTTCTGCGCTCATGACTTTGTGCGCTCCACACGCGCCTTCAGTCGGAAGCGCAGAAAGACTTTGAGCGCATTCGGACTACATCCGCGATTTTCACCCGAGAATAATAATTATCCATGGTGGAAGTTCAGGGACAAATGCGATTTCCTGTGCGGTAATCAGAGACAGTCGCCTGTGGCGGATACATTGTTTATAATCAGGGCCTCGATAAAACCTGACATCCCGATTCCACTTGCACGGCTCAGGCTGATTCCATAGGCTCAGGTGCATGCTACATCATGGTCCGTGAGCCGGAAATTCTTTCGCGTCATCGTGGAAAACAATGAAATCTCGATGTGAACTCCCCAAAGGAGTCTAAAGAGTGCTTGTACCAAGATGTCCGTTTCAATCGGAAGGCTATTCATTAAAGTAGAAGCCTGACGCTTTGATAAGTACCTGATTGTGTCTTTTCCCCGATAATCAGGATGGAGAACGACAGTGATGAAGCGGTAATCGATTCATCGAAATGTTCACAGCACAGCGCCGGAGGCCCTCCGTCGATTTACAGATCTGTAATCGCCCATCACAGAAATGAAGAAGCCACACGCGGTGATGATCAATATCAACCGTTCCAGGGGACTGTGTAAGAATTTTTTTCCTTTGGTGGAGCAGCTCTCATAGGGGTGACCCTATGGTTCTCAAAAGGAACTGTGAATGCGAAAACGGGGGGGGGGGGGAAACTTATAGAGCAAGGTCGGAGGGAAAGGTCAAGGAGACATAGGAAAAAGAATATTGACGCACTACACAGGAGAGTGGAAGTTGGGTGTGAGGCTCATGTAAATTAAAACCTTGTGAAAGAACCTATGGCCCTTCACCTGATGGGAGAGAGCGGGTAGTGTCGGATTTGGAGAGTCTAGTATTGACGTTGGAGGGAAGACGTTCAGTCTTTAATTACAGTGGGATTCCGCTCCTCCCGCTCGCCGAGAGTCGGCTTGATGCATCTGGAAACTGGAAGTCAGCGTCGATCTGGATCTCCTCGAAGATCCAGAATCCAGTGCTCGGTTGTGAATAAAAGATGGATATCAGTCTTCATCTTAGGAGCTTTGAGTCAGACGACCAGGTAGGCTCCAGATCGAGTCTATCGTGAATCGTTTAGAGCAGAGCCAATGTCCCTTGTCGAATTACGGAGTCTGCAAGGAAATTCGATTCCCTCCAATGGCTCGGGCTTGCATTGAGTGTCCTGCTGATGAAGAGAGACGCGCGCTCTGGACGGGGAGGGCACGGTATTTGGCTGATAATACTAATTCGGACGGAGCCGTTCGCAGCTCGCGGAGAGGGTCAGGAAGGGCTTTAGGTCTCCCGGAAAATGCGCGGCATACAGTTAGGGTTGACCTCTGGATTGCCGTATATTTGAGGAAATTCTCCCAAGTCTCGCTAACTTACTTACTGATTGAGTGACCGGGCGTGCACACTCGAGTGTTCGCTCTAAGGAAGGTTTGCTCCTGGGCCAGAGCTCGTCAGTTTGAGATGAACGTTGATCATGGAACGAATTGCTGTAATAGTTCGAGAATAATTAATGTGATCGCTTTGTAATTCTATGATTATTCATGCAGCGCTATTCTTGTTCTGTACCACTCAAAATTCAATCAGTGGATAGCAGAATTGCCGTCACGCCCTGAGTACCGTACGCCGGCGGCAGCAATCAATCTGCCACCGAGAACTCAAATGATTCGCCCGCAACCCTCACTTGATCTTCAAACAATGACCAATGAACGCGGTCGGTAGCGACATAGTTTAGGGAATGCTGTCCACCAGGGCGAAACCGGCTATCCGAGACTATACTGAGGCCAACCAGAAAAGTGGACATATGCGAAATATTCAGCATCGTACTTTCTCTTACACGGGGAACGCATTGAGGATTGACGTCATACCACTGAGCACGTTTCGGAGATGCTTAGTCGCTTCTACCAGACCACGAGTCCGCTCGCTACGGTCGAATCTGTCGCGGATTTATCGGAATATCTATCCTCGCCGGGGATGAAACCTTCGCATGGCGTTCATCGGACTTGAAAAGGTTCCAGTCCGGAGCTCGTTGGACCCGAGCTGTCTCTGAGTTTGGGCCCGACTTCTGCACCAACATCCTCGAAGTGTGTGAACTTCGCAGCATTGTATCACATATACATACATATACGTATCATCAATTCTTCATGAAGAACCCGCTGGTCGAATAAGGTCTCCATTTTATAGCTAAGCTTAGAACCACCAGTCTTCAACGGCAGGGAGCAGTTGACCATAGAAGCAGCTGGATGAGTGGGAGGCTTGCGGGAAAATAAACCCAACAGGGATCATGAGAGGTTTACGATTTCTAACCCTGAGTCCTTGGTCCTCGAGCCCTGTACTCAATTCACTTTTCTCCCATCAAGATAGGCTCAGAAACTTGATGCCTTCGACGATCGCGAAAAAGTGCAGCAAAATGATATGCGACACTGTCCCAATCCTGGATTGCGGGGCGATTCCCACGTCGGCGTCGTCTATGATGGGATCGGCTTGCTCGAAGCGGGTTTGAGTAGCGCCAGACAAGGTGACTTCGATTCCGCACCGAAGGATTAGCGCGTGCGTAAAAATCATAGGGAGTCCTACGAAATGGTTTCATTTTATTGGAATAATTTAATATCATAGAAACTGGAATATACATTTCGGGAGAAATTCACAGACAAAGAGTTGGACACAGACGTATCACAGGAGATGAAGTTCTGAAAATGATCATTCGTCCTTTCACGAACACGATGAGAGGCATCTAACTAAGAAGCTTGAGCTTAGTAGTGGTGTCCGTAGGCGAGGGGAGCCTTGGCGAGAAGGGGAGCCGCAGCGTAAGCGGCAACGGGGGCGGCAGCCACAGCCTTGACGGCGAGAGGGGCAGCGTTGTAGACGGCGGCAGCGGCAACAGAGGGAGCGGTTCCCGGCTCGTTGGTGTTGATGGAAGCCCGGAATCCGGCAGCATCGGCGACGTAGTCGACGCGACGAGCGATACCTCGAGCATCAGAGAAGGAGTACGATCCCTTCTTGTTGTTGTAGGCGTCGGAAACCTCGTGACGGGACTGCTTGGTTCCGTACTCATCCACGGAGTCGTAACCGAACTGGTAGGGTTGGGGAGGCGTAGGCGATGGCAGCCTTGGCGAGAACGGGAGCGGCAGCGTATTTCGCAATGGGAGCGGCAGCAGCGTACGCGAGGGGAGCAGCATGTGCGATGGGGGCAGCGTGTGCGTAGCTCAGAGCGGGAGCGGCGTGAGCGTAGCTGAGCGCCGGAGCCGCATGAGCGTAACTGAGAGCCGGAGCGGCATGGGCGTAGCTCAGAGCAGGAGCAGCGTGAGCGTATCGCAGAGCCGGAGCAGCATGAGCGTAGCTCAGAGCGGGAGCAGCATGAGCGTAGCTCAGTGCGGGAGCGGCATGAGCATAGCTCAGGGCGGGAGCAGCTTGAGCGTAGCTCAGAGCGGGGGCGGCGAGACCGGCATGGGCAGCGGCAACAGCGACGGAGGCGACAACAACCTGCAATTAGTCACAATTTGTAATAATCCTTGAGTGAGTTCCTCCCGTTGGCACATTTTACACGACCGACGTGAAATCAATTAGAGAGCACAGTCCTCCGAGGGAACGTCGAGGCTACCTTGGCGAACATTTCAAATGATCTGGTGGAACTTCTGTTGGAAAACACTCGAAAGCGCTTGCCTTATATTCGCTGAAAAGGGAGGGCAAAATTTTGGCCACACCCGGGTGTCCAGAACACCGGGGACCGTGATCGACAGCAACAATCGGGATCCAAGCTCGCTAAATTGAGCGTTTTTTTTTCTGCCCACAGTACGGCTCTACGGCGAGAGCCGGCCATCGATTGCCGTCTGTACAACCACAATGATTCCTTTGCGAGTTCATCGGCGTATTAAAGTTTATCACGGCTCAACGGTTTCCGATCGTTTTCTGGGTGAAGAGAACTTTCCCACGCTTCCGCCTGGGAACAGAAACCGCGATCTTCACTGGTTGTGTTCGCTGATTAGGTATCGGGAGGTCTTGGCTCCGAAATCGAGGTTTCGAATAGTCCAATCATCGGGGGTTTAGTCGAAAATCCAGTCTCGACTGTACGTGATCCTCATTAGGGATTGTTGCGTAACACCTCGGAACTGCTTCGCCAAAAACTCAGCAATTCAGACTTCGAAAATTCTCTGAGCTGGCCTAGCGCGCGCGATTGCTGCTCGACGTAGTCGAGACAAAAGTTCTTCTTTTGACGTAACTTTCCAGAATTCAACTCCCGGCCCCTGGGCTCGTGTTGACGAACTACCGAACTGAATGACCTCATTGTGTCAATCCTGCTGGTGACCCCACAATCCTCACCGGATTCTACTCGAATTCATACAGCTGGGTGAAGAACTCCCGACGACCGATACGCCGAAAGTTCCATCAAAAAAAAAGTTCATTCAAGGTGTCGACTGCTTTCTGATGAGGCTCGGGTCTTTCGGGATCGAATGGCCCAGAGTCAAGATCAATGCGACCGGCACGGCACGTGATGTATTGGCTCTTGTAGAACTTCGCAACAGCGGAGCCCGGAATAGTTCCCGGGGGTACCGCCATTTCCGTTTATCAAATGACCAGGCTTGGTTTTCGACAAGTGGTGGTTAGTGGCGTTGGGGTTTCGTCAATGTAGCGACAGCAGCAGCAGCCCATAAGGACAATATCGGTATGCAATGTATGACATGGGGATGTAGAGGCGTGGCAACTCGGGGCCCACTTCCTACCTGTGTATCGAGTCGTTTTCTGGGATTTTCGGCGCTTCGCCGACCTTGGTATCGCCCTGCGGCGAAAACACTTCGACCGAACTCGGAGGCGTCCTGCCGCTCGCTTGCCCACGGCGGGATCGCCACCTTGTTAATTGCTTCTTAATTTATCGTGGTCGCACAAAAAGTCCACTCGATATACGGCGTGGAAACGAGGCGATTTAAGGTCAGCCATGGATTCTCAATATCTGGTGAATTTTTCGCCAATATTTCACCCTCCTCGTTCGTTTCTGTACAGCTTGAGGAAGTTTTCTAATTACACTTGACAGGGTCTCTTTTTTGGGTGCTGACTGGCAACGGAAAACGGCCAATTAATCGAATTTCGTGGAGCTTCTACTAGTTCGTGAGCATTGTGATGAGTGATGAATTATCACATAGCTCGCCACCACGACCCATTCATCGGGTGCTCGGTTGGAAGTTTGCCATCATGTTGCTCGACGTCTGGAATTCATTCACCGGAACAAGCTTTCCGCAAATGACATCTGAAGTGTATCCATGAGGGCATCAGCGTTCGTGGATTGGAAAGAGCATTCCGCCGTATTGAGCAGCGGAGTGGGTCACTTCAAATCAACCAGAGGTCGACTGATGATTCTCCGAGAGAGTCCTGGCGCATCAGAAGTCGTTCCAGGAGAACCATATTCGAGGGCGATGCTCCCCTCATGCGAGAAGAATCAACAACCTGCGATTCCGATGAGAAATCCCCGATCCCGCTAAATTGGACTAGGATTCGATTCGTTCTCACTGACACGGTGTTCGAGATGATTGATGTCAATATTTGTCTGAATCTGTACCGGCTCCGCTTTCAGAATTCCCGAGATTGAAAAATGCGGTGCTCTTGAAGCTCTCGATTTATTGTGACTGCGGCGCTCATTTAGGAGCCAATCGTCTAACGATGAATTCGGTTGACACAAGGTTTGTTTTGACCAATTGACCGCGGGGAACCGTTCGACATCCTCCGCATGGGAACGGCGCGGCGTGTGTGCAGCCAGCTCGTCCATCATTCACAGAACATTCATAACCAGGAGACTGATTGAAAAAATTATTATCGGTCCGAGCCCGCACCGAGCCACAATCGTCACAAATGCCCATATTTCAACTCACAATCGGGTTGTCAGCCAGTGACTCAATCAAAAGAAGAAGAAGAAGCCGAGTGATTCCAGTCGGAACGTGCGAGATATCAATTCAAGATTGTGATGCTCAGCACCCACTGGTGATTGCATGAACGCTCTGGGTTGAGTCGCAGATTTGCTCGCAGGTATTCAGCCTTGATTTAAACAAAAGAGAAGCCGTCGACGTGCTTCTCGTCTCGTGGTCCCGCCTACAACAAAAAGTCAAGTCGACATCACCGACTTCACCAGAGGCTTCTCCCAGCGCCCATCTATCTGTCCGTCCGTCCGTCTGTCGCTAGGCAGTCCGGCCGGCGATCCATCCGTCCATCTATTCGTCCGTTTGTCTCCGTCCGTGGACAGAAGCTGCGCGAACAGTGGCATCACTGTTGGTTACGCGGTGTTCATCTCTACGCCTGGCTGATTCTCTTGTCCATCCCCTTGCCTCCAGCGCAGAGTCGTCTATGAGCATCGTCAGAGCGCACTAGGCCCCCGGAGGGTTAGCATCACTGCCATAGTGAGGGATAAAGTGATGTATGAGTGTCAGATCGCCGGTGACATGGTGCCGTTCTGCCCTTAGAAACTCTGAGATCGTGGAGGACAAATTTTTCCTTCGTCGAGATCCGCGTCGGCGAGACGCTGTTTTCCGCAGGAACATCGCTGATGTGAAGAAGAGACGATGATGATGCATCTCTGTGATAAGCTCTGTCGATATCTATGTTTATTGTTCGTTTTCGAAACGTACATCCGCTCTCTGGCTCAACAGACTGAGGTTTATGTGAGTACCGCTCATCTGTCTCCCTTATCGTGATTAACAACCTAATTAGAGCATTGATTCTGAATACTAGTCGTGGTCTCGCCACGGACTAACCGGATGAGAACCAGTTTCGTCGCGCGGCGAAGTCGCGGTAGTTTGTTCAACAGACCAAAATCGCCGAGACCCACGCCGCGACTTCTGTAAAAACGATTATCCGATGCTACGGAGCTTTCTCTTCGCAACGCTGTTTGTCACAGAATAAGTCACAGTGGCTTTTTGCGACCCGTTTTATCCGGTCAGTAATGCTGATAGGCTCAGAGCAGCCTTGATCGTACGGACCGGATCGATAACGGGACTCCGGGATGATTTGTGGACTTTATCGCGGATTGGCTGTCAGAAGTTCTTCGACGAAATTCAAGAGCCCAGCGAGCAAGGGGCGGCACCGCAAGGCCCTAAGGACGAGAAAAAGCCGCTCGCGCCCTTCAGTCGCGTAACTGCCCCAACTGTCTACGGCTACGAATAATTACCACCATGTAGAACAGCCAGACCAACTCCAGGAGCAACGGCTGCCGCCGCGGCAACAAATTGAAACGTTTTTATGTTTTTACGGTCATTTTTCCTAACCTCGATTTGAACACTGGTGTCGATTATAATTGATGAATGAGCGCTACACCTCTTCAGACAAAGACTCGTATATCTCTCGAAAGTATCCAATCTACCGCCGGAAGAAGAGACAAGCCCCAAGATTTCGAGTGCTCCTCGGCGAGAGGCACATTCGAGACCGAGCGGTGCACCGTGATGTCCTTACCGGCCTCTTTCGACGATCAAGGTCGCCTCCACCGGTATTCAATGCTCAGATGCAGGACTTGCGTAACCGAGGCCACCCTGAGCGACACGTGCGAGAGCGCTTCGCCGACGGTGGATGAGACTCTTTTGGCGAGACGATTTATACCGGAGCACGGACGCGGAGACCCCGTTGATTCCTGAGAGAGAACACGGCCTGGTCAGACCTCTGGACTCAGTCCGGCAAATCGCTTCCCCGTGAGACTCGATGATTTCGAACAGATCTGGGCGGTTTGAGGATACTCCGAGTTTCCGGAGGCGGCTGCGCCGTGAATGATATGGACAGCCGAGAGAATGCAGTTTTCCATTCCATCGCGCGGGAGACCGTCATCGAGGTAAAGACATTTCACCCGATCGTCTCCAACATCCCAAGAGACTGCGGGGGATCGCGTGCTCTCTAAACGCTCCATTCTTCTGCCCTTTCGGGATTTTCTGGTCGCCCGAACGATTCCTTGCGTCTCTACAAGCATAAATCACTCTTACTTTTCGTGTCTTCTATGTATCTTCCGCAGAAAGGCGGCAGTGGTGAGCTTTTTCATCGCGTCATTTCCATATTACTCAATGATCAAGGTCGAAGCTGAAACTCTTCTGTGCACCTGACTTCGTCATACCTCCCGGCTAATGAACGAGTCAAGTACTTCTGCTGACAGCTCACATTCGGTTTCAATGGTCGTGCATTGACACCTTGAGTTATTAATGTCATCAGGCCACCCTTTGTCCGAAGAGAGCAGAACGAAAGATTTAATTAAGACGTCCTCCGTGAATTCCATCCGTGGGGAGACAGTGGATATGTAAAATGTCTCCAAGTCTCACTTTCCTGAAGCCCTTTCATGAACCGCAGCCAAAACGCATTAAATCAACAGCGAACAATTAAAACCAGAATTTCGTACTGTTTTCGACCACACCGAGAGGGCTTGGCGTTGAGCACAAAAGAGTCCGCTCTATGGAATGCTGAAAAAAAAACAGCCGCGTCGTAGTCTCCAAGGTGACTCTCTTCGTCCCCGTGGCTGACGGTGCACCAAAGCAAGCGAGCGGAGGCCGATGGAAAATCGGGGAACAAAGACGGAAAAAGCACTGAACGGTTTGACTGGCGCACCTCCTCGACGTCCGGCGGATATCCAGAATCCATTGATTGCAATGGATGAACCTAATCTATCTGATCGACCTTGCTCCCACCGATCACGTCCCCTCCCGGCGAGCGACAACAAAATCAAATTGATACGGCATGGACGACAAGCGATGACCTATTGTGAGTGTGTTGCCTTGAAAGGTCGATTCCCATATCGGTGCGCTTCCGTTTCCTCGAACAGTGGAGAGGAGCGAGGGCAGAAGCGTTTGATGAGCGGGGAGATCCCAGGAGGCTCTCACCCCGAGATCAATCGGCAGCAAGCGAGAAATCTGGAGACTGGAAGACTCTCGGAAAATTCTCGCGCGATCCCGCTCCGGATAAGAGCAGGGTCGCGGTAAACTTCGCCGCATCCGAGATGATTGCTCCGTCGTTTGACAGTGTCTAGGATAATCGTAATGAGGACGATTCCAGAGATTGAGCCGTCAAAACGTGAAAGACCTACATAGATCCGGGCGGCTCGTTTCATTCATACGACCGCATGCCGTAAACCTGCATAGGGCGGCAGCGGATCGTACCTTACGTCCGTGATTAGTGATTACGCGCTTTTCAGCGGCGGCTCACCCGGCATTTGTGCGAGTGGTGACAACTGCGGACAGTATTGAGCAATTTGGTGAAAAATATTCCTGCCAGTAATTGGTCAATGTGTGGGTTTCTCCGGACTGATACGAGCCGGGCGGAACGTGCGGCATCGTTCCTTCAGCACTGGGTTTGTCCATGTCAAGATCGCGATCGAAGGGAGCCGCAAGATTTTTGATTTTTTTCTCCGAAATTCTCTGATGAGCGAAAATCTGTTCCTGGCTGCCCGTCGTCGGCTTTGAAGATTTGTGACCAAAGAAAGCTCCTGGTCCGTATTGGAGTCTCAGGATCGTTACCATCCATACGCAGGTTCCTTCGAGGAGAGCACGGAGTGAGCAGATCGGCGTCTACGGGCGAGGGGATGCTCTGGATATCGGGAATTCATTCTATAACTCCTCTGTATGAGTCGTCCGCTGCACATCTTTTGTGAGCCAACGTCGTCAGGAGTCCATCTTCGGGAGGGTCGTCTCTCGGGGTCATTCTCCTGCTGAGAATCGTCGTCTGCTCCTCGAATCAATGGTCTGGGGGCGTCCTCTCGAGCCATTCACGCTGACGTCTAGTTAATGAATCAGACGACTCTATTCGATGACGTCTCCCACAACCGGCGGAGCTTCTTTGCCCATATCGCGTTTCCACGGTGGTGACTTGAGCTCGGATGACCTCGCTCGGTCGCAATAGCGAAAGGTCATTCCAGAAGGAATATAGAAATGAAGAAGAGGAGACAAAAAGAGCAAATTAACCGAAGATGAACCAGAAGCAAGGCCGGCCTGAGAAAGGAGAGCATTCAAATGAAAGCGCCCACTTTCATCATCGCTCGTCGACCGTGGAGGTCACCGTCTATGGGCGTAGACGGACTACACCAACAACAACAACAATTGTATGCCTCGAGACGTCACCGACGTTCGCGCGACCGAACTTTATCTCTGAACTCCGGTCGGTTATAATCGGAGCGCTCCTGCATATTCAAATTGAGTGACAGTTCATTCTCAGAGGAGTGGCATTGACCGCGGCTCACGAAAGACGACACCAGTGCGGTAGCATGAAGGGAAAACGATGGCGAACTCACCTCAAATCACATGACTCCCGGTCGCCTGGTCAGACGGCGGCGGTTGCTCTAATTGGATTTCGTTTCTCCATCGTCGCTGCATTGTACGAGAGTCGGAGTGGAGTTGGTTCTCGAATGAAATTCCTCTCCGCATGGCGGGTGACAACGTAGGCGACCACGGCGAAAACCACAAAGAGAGCGTCGGAGCGTATCAGTTGGTGTGAGTTCTCCTAGATTCGTCCACAAAGAACTTCTGCGCCGGGGTCGAAGAACTCCGGAAAAAGATACGACCCGGAGACGCCGTGATAATTTTCGGAAGTACATTCAGATTCCTCCTACTGATTTGGTCAATAGAATCCCCTTCGCTCTGTTTGACACGACAGCTCCAATAATAATTATTACATAATGGCAAATCCAATTCAGAAGTTGCGCTTGACTCTGATGTCCGATCGGCCTTGGCTCCGAGATGAGAACGGTCTGGCTGCCGCTTTGGTTGGCTATTCGACTCCAACGGGGACGGACTGAATGACTACGTCACTTGTACATTGTAATCGATAACGGCGGGATATTATACGGTCGTCTTGAATCGATGGCAAGATTGTGCCAAAGAGAAACGGGCCGTCAGATGCAATCGGAGCAAAGGGAGGCTCTAGATTGGGCGCGGGGGCATTTGGTTTCTCTAGAAATTGTTTCCCGATGGAGCTTTCCGTTGTATGGACTCGCAAGCCCTTGCACCGCCCCAAACTCGCGATGATCCGGTCTGACTCGATAAGATTCACACATTTATTGATTGTTACTAAATCATAATGCTAGGTAGCTAATCGACGGACTTTCTCATTTTCCCCCGACGCGTGTCCGAAATTCCTTCTATGTACACTGTATTCACCCGCATTAACATCCTTGACGCTTATTTTCAGACGGATTACAGTCAAAGCCACGCTTTCCCATCGCATATCGTTGATAACAAGACGCGCGCCGCATTACAGTCTGGTTTCGGTAAGTTGAATTTCCAGATTTCGGGCGACGAAACCAATTTGCCGTCGATGTGATTAATGGGATCGGGTATCAGGTCCATGCGCCTCGCCGACGAATTCAGGCACTGATACGTTTCCCGGAGGCGCTGAATGGAAATGACTTCGAGTTGAGCTTCTCACTATGTGTATCAGTCTCCTGGTCGGGGAATCTCTACACAAAGCGAATCGTACGGCTCGACGGTTTCGAGCATAATTATTCTTCGAAACTCATGAATTCATGACGTTCAGCCTCATCTGTTTCATTCGTGGGAGCTGAAGCTGCAAAGGAAGGGTCGCCGAAATGCCGGAGTATCGGTCTAATGGTTCGGAAATGCGTTAAATTGATATGCTGATTATTCCATTATGAGCAATGATGATACGTGTGTGTATGCACAAATAAGATTAGAATCCTCAGATCTTGGTTTGATCGGCAGAATGAATTACTGAGGGATTCATTGGAATGATAAATGTTCCCATGGGAGTGCTGTCCCGGTAATGACATCTACGTGTACACCACATATGAACACATATCGAAAGATTTGGGCGTTTCTGAATTTCCGCATCGCCGCTCCCCGGGGCAAGGTCGCTATTTTGCCGCTCAAAGTACACTTGAAACAACTTCTGTTTTAATTTCTATGACGACGTAATCGTGATATCAACTCGAAGCTCTCACGCGAACCTCATATCGTATATCCGGGATCATTGGTTCTGCACCAGATTCCCTCTAGTAGGTAATTCGACATCTATCGTATGAGAAAAGCGAAGCGATGTGAAAAATGATGTACTCTCAAGAGTGGGCTGACCACGTATCTGATGAGATGCTAGCGACTTTCCGAGCGATTTCGGAGGAAGTACCCTCTGGGAGCTCTGCGGTGCTTGCTTCACTCCGAATTGCAACTTCAGCGAACGGTGTAGTTCTGGCAGCGACGGTCAGTGATTGATGATTGACACCAATTAAAAAGGTTTTTCTTCTCTTTCTTCCTTCTCCTTCGTCAACTGTACCGATCGCAAGGTCGCGTGCTTCCCGAAGAACAAAGCTAATTGTTACTTGCCATTGTTTGCCGAAAGCCAGCAAAACTTTATGCAATCGGACGAGCCGCTTGGGCAATTTTCCTCCGCAATGTTCGATTTTGTCTGTGGAATTCTGACAGCTTCGCCCTGTTGATCGTCGTTCCGAACACCAACATCGCTGTTAGTCTTCGTTTCGGCGGTGCTTTTTCCTTTTTACTCCAATTTTTTATCAGACCATTGTTCGAGAACGTGATCGGCGGGCGATATCCCCCCAGAGTTCACACCCCTGTCCATGCGGGCTGAGGCTTTTCTTTCGCTCTTTTCAAAGATTTGTTGACGTCTAGCAATGAGAGCGAAAACTCTCCGCCAAGTGCGGTGGGAACAATTTCCGAGTCGGCTTCGTTGGGGGAATTTCTGACGGAAATGTCCTTCTGAATTCTGTTCTGGGATCTTTTCGCTCTGCGTGACATTTCGGCAACGGTGTACGTTCGACTCCGGAGAGAGACTCTTGAGGACCGATTGTTTCTGCGCGCAATCTGATTATTTTGATGGCACAACCTCCAACGACTCGCTACAACGTGTTGTCTCTCTGAATTACCTGATGAGAGATACAACTCGTGATTGGTGATCTGATTCACCTGAGCACGATCGCATATCGCTTCCGCACAACGGAGGTGTGCATTCCATCGATCGAGCAGGAATTCCGAAGCTCGTGATTCTAGGGGGGCGAGTCTCCACGTTCAGCTCGAGTACCCGGTAAGGAATTCCGCGAGGTGATGAACATCCCACGGGACCGCGAAAAATTTCCATTGAGTCCATGCATTCATTCCATTGTTCTTCCGAGGGACCGGGGGTTAAGTTTTTGTGCACCGACTCATGGGCCACTCGAACCGCTTGCATGAGCGACGAGAGTTCCAGCAAATCGGTCGCTCCCGGTCCATCTCATGGGAGATATACACCGACGATTACGCTGACCGACAATCTCGAAACACCCGGGAGCGAAGGTTGGCCTTCTGTTGGAAACGACGAGCTCACGCCCTCTTAGCATTAGCGCCAATATGGGGACCGACGGTGACTCTACTCTATGCGATAAATATTCCACTTCCGCCATCGGCATTATAATATTTGGCCAATGACTGTTTCGCATCCGAAGATATTATGCGACAACGAAAGTCGTAGGAAGCGTTGTAAAACACGGCGGCATTCCGCTCGAATCGAATTCAAGTGCATATCACGCGAGACCTGCCGTGTGGAGCGGAGTTTCCCTGGATCTCGCGCAGACCGTCTGACGGCGCGGCGCCGGCGGGAACACAAAAGAGTTCATTTGAACGCAGATTGAACCACGAAGTTTACCCAGCGAAAGTTTGATCAATCGCATGCGGATGCGATCGCCCTATCTGCCCTGTGATTTCCTCCGTGGTTCTGGGAGATATCAGTTACGGATATAAGGACGGCGTTGGGGGAGACGTGGAACTTAGACAGGGTTCTCTCGTCAACGACCTATACTCAAGTCGAATGACAGGAGGGCGGCTCCAAGATGCTGCGCCGCGTCGTCGTCCTGTCCGCGGGACATGCGACGCGCTCCATCGGGGCCTTATTCAGAGATCTCGAATAGCGGAAGTATCGGCGCTCAATAAACGACGCGACGCACAGTGGATCAAAATGAGTTTTTAGGTGGACAAAAGTCATTTCGAAATTTCCGTACCAACTAATAGCTCGGCATGAAGAGCGATGTCTGGAAGTCGGAAAACCATAGAGATCTCGGAATTTCCTGCTGCTGCTACGGAATACACAACTACCGAATCAGAAGTTGAAATTCGGGCATCATGTGACTCTTTTTCCTCTAATCAATGAATTTCAAAAACGAAGCCACTCCACCCTTTCCGGCGGGGATGGAGGTTTGTTCCTAGCTCAGTTCTCGTCCGGATCTTAAGTTTGAACGAGATTCAGACCGGATCAGACATGTTAGAGGTTGCTTAGAAGGATGTGATATCTCTCATGGATTCTTCCGAGTTTTGTCAAACTTCGCAATACCAAAAGTATAGTGTCCCCTCGCGGCCCTGGGAGCTGTCAAGTCTGGGACACTCATCAGACCTCCGGCAATCAGAAAAATAAATATTGTCACCCGGTTTTACCCGGTTACCGAATAATAATTTATTTTCGTCACCATGAAAATCTCCATTCACGGATGAGAAGCATAACTCCTTGGAGACACAGAGACCATAAAACGCCGAATTCCTTTTTGGACGCCATCGTTGGACGTTCGCGGTTTGCACGTCAATGTGCAGATAACGGCAGCACATGCGCGAACTGCAGCAACGGTATCCGCTCGTGTAAGCAAAGTTCGCATTCATACTCCTAGTGGTGCGGTAGACTCGAAAACCTCTGAAGGAAAAGTCATCGAGCGTTGACCCGGAAGTAGCAGCTTTACTGAGGGTCGACCCAGAGATTGAAGTCGGGTCCTCGAAAGTCAATGATGACACTTCAAGCACAGAATGTACGGATGACACGGAGATTTCAAGCGACTCTTCGAGTGATTTCTGTTATTGACTCTAAGAAATAACAAAATGTATTATGATCGCCTAAACCGTGATTGGTCAGTTTTTCTTGTATATCCCGACTCGGAGACACTTCGCAAAGCGAAATTTCACGGAAAATAATTTTGTCCACCTAGAAACTCATTTTGATCCACTGTGCGACGGCTCGGCTCGAGCCAATCGATCAGTTCTGAAAGCGGCGCGTCTCTTTTCGCGTCGGGCTGACAATGAGATGCAAAAACCTGCGATGGGATGCTCACCAGGAGATCCTCGATAGACTTTCCCGCAAGGGTCGAAAGGCGAACGGAAACAATGAAAATTCCCTTCCCAGACGCTTCCACAAGTCGGGATCAGTCCGATATTGTAAGATATGCTCTTCTCCATGATTCCTCTCCGCGATATGTGGACACGACAGTATTAGTCAATTAAGGCGAAGTAACCTTCTGACGGTAGCGTGAAATTCGGAGGGTTGGGCGTGGTACTCCTTCCTTCCTTCGTACACTTCCATAATCGTTCACTAATGGTTTATGCGTCGCAGAAAGCCCGGTCAGTCGTTGCTTGACAGTCGAGCAAGCCGAAGTCGACGATGCCGGGTGTTACCGCGCAGCGGGTCCGTTTTCCTCCTTTTCAAGAATCGAGTTTCCTTCTGGACTTTTTAAGCGGTGAAGGTCGTGTCCGTAAATCATAGAGGAAAATGGCGTCGCGCGACCATAGTCTTTCGGACATGATGCCGGTTCCTACTTCCGACGTGACTCTTTGAGTTTTGACTTCGCTCTACACCTACTGCGCGTCAAGGAAGCAGGTCCACCCAGAAATTTGGGAGTCATTGACTATCTGAATAGCGTGGGAGTACTGAGGCAAATAGAATTGGATACATTTTGATTACGATGTCCGAAGGGAAGAAAATTCGGCTCGCTTCTGATTCGAGAAACCACCAGCCAGCTAGCTATGAGCTTGTATGTGTTACGACCGGACATGTCATTCGACCCAGCGTACGTAGTTTTCTGTCCCACTGAATGCGAATGTTGAGCGATTATTATGACTATTATTATTTTTTCACCATTCCTCGGGTCGTTGAAGTATAGGGGGCGGTGTCGACGAGCCCGGACGGGCGGCCGCCTTGCGACTAGTTTGTTAGGCCGGCCGTCCAAACTTTCGATGGTCACCATGGGACGCGTCAAGGCTAAGCTGAAATTGGAAAAAAAATCTATTTCAGCTGCTACTCCCTGATAGCCTGAATGCTCGCAAAGGGTATTCAGCTGCTCGGACATTGGTGGGACAAGTCTACACGATCATAACTATGGATGAATCGAATGTGTTGCTACACGGTGTTCAACACATTTGGAATAGAAAGCGCATGCCCGATAAGCCTTGAATCCGATTTCGAATATCACCCAGTAGAAGTTCTCAAAGCCATCATCTAACGGATGAGTGA